GTGTGTGTGTGTGTGTGTGTGTGTGTGTGTGTGTGTGTAAGACAGCTAGGATGAGACCCAGCTCAGCACAGAACTTCAGCGACTAAAGGTTAACCCGTGTGTGTGTGTGTGTGTGTGTGTGTGTGTGTGTGTGTGTGTGTGAAAGACAGCTAATATAAAAGTGCCCCGTTGGTGCAACAGGTCAGAGTATAGGAGCTTACTGCCGACATCAACTTACCTCAGAAAGCTGGAAGACTCATTAAACTAACAGGCTAGGGGATGAGCAGAGGACTAGAGACATCCTTTATGTCTAATGAAGGTTTTGTACCCAATAAAGAGCCCAGGAATGAAACAGGAAGAGTATCAGTAGCTGGACTAGCAGAAAACATCTAGGTTTCTTTCATTCCAAATCTTGTTTAACACCGTGTGTTCTCTTTGATTATCCATTGTTTTGTTTTGTTTTGTGGTTTTTTGAGACAGGATTTCTCTGTAGCTTTGGAGCCTGTCCTGGAACTAACTCTTGTAGACCAGGCTGACCTCGAACTCACAGAGATCTGCCTGCCTCTGCCTCCCGAGTGCTGGGTTTAAAGGCATGCGCCACCACCGCCTGGCTGATTATCCATTCTTAAGAAATTACTTGTGGTTCTGTTTGTCTTAGTACACTTTGCAGAAGCCGCCTCCTTTCTCAGTAACTTAGAGGTAAAGCTTTGACCTGTGGCAGAGCGGTGGCTTGTCCATCCGGGAACAAAGAAGCTGACCGTGGGGCTCACATTGTGAGTGCTGGTCACACTGTTTTGTCGAAAAGGTGGCTTTTGTGGACCGCATGCAAGTGGTGACATCAATGGTGGGATGTAAACACTGAACTGAACTTTGAGCTAGTATGAAGTTTGCCAAAGAACGTTTTAATAAATAAATGCCCTGAGATTTTTTTATAATATGCTTCTGTGTTTCAGAATATCAAGCAATACCTGACAGATTTTAAATTTTTTTCATAAATTTTTGTCAGTATATAGTAAGTTTCATTATTACACTTTGGTGTCTGTGCTTGGCTCACATTCCCCTCCTACAGCAGTCCTCCCCATCCTCCTCCAACAGCACTCCTCCCCTCCCGTCCTCCGACAGCACTCCTCCCCTCCTCCGACAGCACTCCTCCCCTCCTCCGACAGCACTCCTCCCCTCCTCCAACAGCACTCCTACTGACAGCACTCCTCCCCATCCTCCTCCGACAGCACTCCTCCCGTCCTGCCTTGGGATTCTTTCAGTGGAAGGGAATGTCCGGTAGCTGCTGTGGGCCCTGCCCTGGAATTAAAGATCCCACAGTCCTACCCAGGCCTTTCCGTCTGTAGGGCCCACCGAACAAGGGTCAGCAGCCATGTGTGCAGCCAGTTGGGCCTGTGGGAAATGCATTCTGAGTCCTCTGCCTGAGAATACGGTGTGGACATTGGAGCCCGAGTTCTGCAGCCCCTGTGCCTATGACAGCTAGTTGTGGAAATAACTGATATTGAGCGTAGCTAAATTTCATCTTGACTGACGATGGAAGACTGTCACAGCTGATCTGTCCAACACAAAGTGCTTTGCAGACTCTCTAGAAGAAACTAATATAAAAAGGCATGACTTGTGTGTTTATAGGGTGTATGGTCTTTCCCCTGCCCCTATCTGTATACCCGAGCGATCCTCAGGCTCCTCCAAGGAGGAACCCAGTGGTGGTATAAGTTTTCTTGAGAGTCTAGCGTATATTTGGGGTTTGTAAACAATTCGGCTGACATAAATGCTTGTTCAGAAAAGTGCACATCGTGTGCAATTGAAGATTATTTTTGTAACAAACTGAATATGCCCTTCTAATAGACTGTACATCCAGAAACAATTGACAGCATTTCAGCAGATCCATGCGGGTTCCCCTCAAGTCATAACCCATAGGGAAATTGCTAACTTCATATTTATAACAAAGCATCATAGAATTATTATAATCTTTTGACTATAAATTATTTAAAAGCTTTCCCTCCTTTCTCCTATGTCTAGCTTAATTTTACTTCATAATGTTCATAATTCAGTATTATATAGGTAAGAATCGTCCCTTTTTTAGTCTGTGTGTCTTTTACATCATGTATCTTCTTTAAAAATTTATTTATTGCCGGGCGATGGTGGCGCACGCCTTTAATCCCAGCACTCGGGAGGCAGAGCAGGCGGATCTCTGTGAATTCGAGACCAGCCTGGTCTACAAGAGCTAGTTCCAGGACCGGCTCCAAAACCACAGAGAAACCCTGTCTCGAAAAACCAAAAAAAAAGAAGAGTAACGTTAGGGGAGGTGGACAAAGGTTATGCTGGAATGCTGCACTATCTTGAAACTCCTTTAAATCTAAAATATATCAAATTAAAGTGAAAAAGCAANAAAAACCAAAAAAAAAAAAAAAATTATTTATTTTCTTATTTATTATGTACACAGTGTTCTGCCTGCATGTCTGCCTGCAGGCCAGAAGAGGGCACCAGATCTCATTACAGATGGTTGCTAGGAATTGAATTCTCTTAACTTCTTGAGCCATCTCTCCAGCCCTACATCATAATCTTGTTACCATTCATTTCCCCATCCCTTTGCATCATCCCTCTGCCCCTGCACACAAATAAAACAAAACTAAAGAGAAATAAAATAAAGGAAAATTCTAAAAATTCATCATGGAAACTGCAAGTGCTCATTGCAAAGAGTCGTTGGTCTGGTTCGAGGTCTCTGGTTTCTACCACACCATCAATGCTGTGCCCTCACTAGGACTCTTCTTGGATATCCTGCTGGTGCCCTGTGTTGGGAGATCCTGCAGCTTCGGGTCTGCAGGCCAGCTTCCTTCACATGCTCCAGCAGGTCACAGACGAGTGGATGTTTGGGCGGGTCAACTCGTAACCTTGGGTCTGGGCCTGGGCAGCTGTAGGCTGATCCACCAGGTGAGGAACGGGGACAGCTCTCCCGTGCTTACAACTTGGGGGCTGGCTCACCCACACCTGCACTAACAGGGTTGGCTCTCCCAGTCCTAGGAGCACAAGGCCAGCTCCCCCGCCTGCCTCAGACCTTCATTCCTTGCATCACCAGTGCAATCCTTTCCTTTTCCGTGCTAGTCACAGCTCATTGCTTGGGCATACGCCCGTCTATTCATTCCATTCTTGATGACACAGGAGTCGGTTCCAGCTTGGGGCTATTAAACAGGTAAACATTTTCTTTATAAATATACTTAGAAAAATCTAAAACAAAAAGATGGCTACTAGATTACCTTAAAGATCAGAGTGAACAATATCAGCCAGAATTTCTATGAAATCTTACAAAATTTCTCCCCACTGAAGTAACCTTGCCTGACATTCTCGATTTCACATATATGTTGTATGCAATGAATATTAATTTTATATCTTTGTGCAGATATGTACATATTCTAATAAACATTGGGGTAAAGACTCCCAGGAATATATGATGGTCCGTCAGTTATGATGGCTTCCCTCACAATTATTTTTATCTTACAGTGTGCAAAAACACACACATACAACCATTGTGATTTTTACTTTAAGTGTCCCAAGATTTTTCTGAGATAACCAACATTTATTATAAAAAGGGCTTTGAGTTAGATGATTTTGCCCAACTGAAAAAATTTAAAGTAAGCCAGGCCAAATTCTTATGCTCCCTGTCTGAAACAGAATCTAATTGCCCTCGGTACATCTGCTGTGTATTTCACGAAATATTCAGATATTGTACAAAGATGTCAGTAAGTTAAAAAGAGTTCATGGGTAAGAGATGTCCCTAAAGAGGAGTGATAGTCTGTCTAAATACTGGACAGAAAGGAGATTATAGGAAGGGAAATTTCAGAGAGCAGAACAGACAAGAGAGAGGGCTGAAATCTACTTGCTGTCATTATCCAGTACGGTCGGCCAGATGGTGCGCAACAACCCGGAGCTTAAGCAGACTCAGCCCCGAACCTACCTTAGCCTGGCCACAGGAGCGCCTGGCTCTAGGCAACCACGGAGATGAGCAACAGTTCACTGTCTGGATTGTACCTCCTAGAAGGATCATTGTGGCCCTGGATGCCACCAGAGACCAAGTTAGAATTGGTGGTCCATGCTGCTGCACCGTGCCACGAAGAAACCTGAGACCCGTGTAGACATAAGCGGTCGCTGTGGTTGCCTGATGCTTTGGAGCCGTCCTCGGACTTTGCTGCCTCGGGGTGCCATGCTGATGTGACTGACCGGTGTATACCACCTGAGGCCATGTCTAGGAGGCTCATAGCCCCTGTAGCTGCTGAGAGTCAGAATGGGCCAGTGTCTACACTGATACAGGTGTCTACTGCCCATGTTACCACGGAAGCCCGTCCCAACGCTGTGGTTTAGGCTTCTGCCTGGAGCAATGTACACAGGCACGCTGGCCCCTCACTTCACCGCCCCACCGAACAGTGACAGTAACAGGCAGTGGCATGGGCTCAGGCCACTGCTAGGCTCTGCTCAGTTGGTGACTTCTGGCATGGATGCAGGCAGAGAAAGACTC